TTGCTGAGGAGTGATTTACTTACAATGTGTGCAGTTTTAGAGTAAGTGCCTTGTGGCACTGAGAATAATGCATATTCTGTTGTTTGGTGTGGAGAGTTCTGTAGATATCTATCAGGTCCACTTGATCCAGAGCTGAGTTCAACTTTAGGATATCTTTGTTAATATTCTGTCTCTATGATCTGTCTAATATTGACAGTGGGGTGTTAAAATCTCCCACTGTTACTGTGTGGGAGTCTAAGTCTCTTTGTAGGTCTCTAAGAACTTGTTTTGTGAATCTGGGTGCTCCGGTATTGGGCGCATATATATTTAGGATAGTTAGCTCTTCTTGTTGAATTGATTCCTTTACCATTATGTAATGCCCTTCTTTGTCTTTTTTCATCTTTATTGGTTTAACGTTTGTTTCATCAGAAACTAGGATTTCAACCTCTGCTTTTTTCTGTTTTCCATTTGCTTGGTAAATTTTCCTCCATCCCTTTGAATCTATGTATGTCTTTGCATGTGAGATGGGGTCTCTTGAATGCAGCTCACTGATGGATGTTGGCTCTTTATCCAGCTTACCATTCTGTGTCTTTTATATGGGGCCTTTAGGCCATTTACATTTAATGTTAGTATTGTTATATGTGAATTTGATCCTGTCATCATGATGCTAGCCGGTTATTTTGCAGACTTGTTCATATAGTTGCTTCATAGTGGTGTTGGTTTGTGTACTTCAGTGTGTTTTTTGTAGTGACTGGTAACCATTTTTCCTTTCCATATTAGTGCTTCCTTCAGGAGCTCTTGCAAGGCAGGCCTTGTGGTGATGAATTCCCTCAGCATTTGCTTATCTGAAAAAAAATCTCATTTCTCCTTTGCTTATGAAGTTTAGTTTGGCTGGAAATGAAATTCTAGGCTGAATTTTTTTTTAAGAGTATTAAATATCGGGCAGGCATGGTGGCTCACGCCTATAATCCCAGTACTTTGGGAGGCCAAGGAGGGTGTATCACCTGAGGTCAGGAGTTCGAAACCAGGCTGGCTAGCATGGCAAAACCTTGTCTCTACTAAAAATACAAAAATTAGCTGGGTGTGGTGGCGGGCACCTCTAATCCCAGCCACTCAGGAGGCTGAGGCAGGAGAATCATTTGAACCTGGGAGGCGGAGGTTGCAGTGAGTCAAGATTGTACCAGTGCACTCCACCTTGGGTGACAGAGTGGGACTCCATCTCAAACCAGAATGTTAAATATTGTTCCCAATCTCTTCTGGATTTTAGGGTTTCTGCTGAGAGGTCTGCTGTTAGTCTGATGGGCTTCCCTTTGTAAGCAGCCTGGCCTTTCTCTCTGGCTGCCCTTAACATTGTCTCCTACAGTTTGACCTTGGGAGAATCTAATGCTTATGTGTTTTGGGGTTGATCTTCTCATGGAGTATCTTACTGGGGTTCTCTGGATTTCCTTAGTTTGGGTGTTGACCTTCTTGCTAGGTTGAGGGAGTTTTCCTGGATGATATCCTGAAGTGTGTTTTCCAACTTGGTTTGTTCTCCCTATTTATTTCAGGTACCCCAATCAGTCATAGGTTCAATCTTTTTACATAATCCCATAGTTCTCACAGGTTTTGTTTGTTCCTTTTTTCTCTAATCTTGTCTGCCTGCCTTATTTCAGCAAGATAGTCTTCAAGCTCTGATATCCTTTCTGCCACTTGGTCTGTTTGGATATTGACACTTGTGATTGCATTGTGAAGTTCTTATGTTGTGCTTTACAGCTTGATCAGTTCATTTATGTTCCTCTCTAAACTGGTTATTCGGGTTAACAGCTCCTGTAATATTTTATCATGGTTCTTAGCTTCTTTGCAATGTGTTAGAACATACTCCTTTAGCTCAACGAAGTTCATTATTATACATCTTCTGAACCCGATTTCTGTCAATTCATCCATCTCAGCCTCATCCCAGTTCTGTGCCCTTGCTGGAGATGTGTTGTGATCTTTTGTAGTTGAAGAGGCACTGTGGCTTTTTGAGTTTTCAGCATTTTCGAGTTGATTCTTTCTCATCTTCAAGAGTTTATCTACCTTTGATCTTTGAGTCTGCTGACCGTTGGATGGGGTTTTTGTGGTCTAATTGATGCTGTTGTTGCTTTCTGTTTGTTCTTCTTTTAGCAGTAAGGCCTCTCTTCCCTAGGGCTGCTGTGATTTGCTGGGGGCCTACTCCAGACCCTGTTCACCTGAGTCCCTCTGACCCCGGAGGTATCACCAGTGGAGGTGGCAGAACACCAAAGATGGCAGCCTGCTCCTTTCACTAGGCACTCTGCCCCAGAGGGGCATTGACCTGATGCCTACCAGAATGCTCCTGTATGCAGTGCCTGGAGACCCCTGTTGGGAGATCTCACCCAGTCAGGAGAAATAGGATCAGGGACCCACTTAAATAAGCAAGAATTTCCCTTATCCAGACTACCCGGACCCCTCAGCGTTTGCCAGCAGAAAAGGATAAGATTGCGGTCCATGATACCGTGGCTTCCTGTCCTCCTAGGGGCTCCTCTCATGGAAATCAGAGATCTGTCCATAAACCGCTGGCTGGGGGTGCTGAAAATCCCTCAGGGAGAGGCCCTGCCTGGCAAGAAGGAATGTGTCAGGGTCTTGCTTAAAGAAGCAGTCTGGCCACAAACTGTCACAGTACTTGTGTTGCACTGTGGGGAATTTCTCCTGGTCCAAATCACTCAGTCTTGCTGGCACCAGCAGCAGGGGAAAATGGTCAACTGGAGCCACAGTGGTGGTGGGCACCCCTCCCTCCTGGGACCCGGTCTTCTTAGGCAGTCTCCAGCCTGTCCCTCTGGCCAGGAGGCAGTCCAATTTAAGGAAATCAATTTACACTAAAGTTGTATCACAGCTAACTGGTACGAATTTTATCTTTTTGGATATTTTTTCCCCTATGGATTCCATCTTGGATAATTTTTTTCTTTTCTTTTTTTAAAGAGATAGGGTCTTGCTCTGTTTCCCAGGGCAATCATGGCTCACTGCAGCTGTGAACTCCTGAATCACTGTCTTGGATAATTTCTAATGTTATGATTTTGAATTCATTCATCTTTCTTTTCTGGAATATCTAATATTCCATTAATTTTAACTTCTAAAAAGTCTCAGACATTGTAGTCCTCTGTTTTGAATATTTTTCATCTTTGTTTAACATTTAAAAATATGGAATACAGTTATAATCATTTTAATGTCTCTTTTAATTGTAACATCTGTGTAAGTTCTGCATTCGTTTCAACTTACTGATTCAGCTTCTTATTATGTCTTATTTTTTTCCTTCTGTATATGGCTGGCAATATTTCATTAGATTCCAGACATTGTGTTAGGTGCTGGGTATTATGTATTTCTGTAAACCTCCTTGAGTTTTTTTTTGTTGTTGTTGTTAAAGTTATGTTGTTCTTTTCTTAAAAGTATGTGCTTTTATAATCATTCTCAATCATTTCTTATGCGGGATACAGTCAGATTACATGGGAACATTTTGATCCTTTCAGGTTTTACATTATGAATTGTTAGGTGGGTCTGGAGCAGTTTAGTTCTGCTCACTGTGTGAGTGCCAAGAACTGTGTCCTCTTACTGTTTCAGATGCTTCTTAATCTGGCCTGTTCACATGCACATGCTAATCAATACTCAAGGAATACCTTTTGTAGATCTCTAGGGTTCTCTCTGTGTAGTTCTCTTTGCTCTGGTACTCTTTTCCGTGAACTCTAGCTGTATTAGTATTCTTATACTTTTAGCTCCATTTCTTCAACTCAGGGAGTCAGTCGGTCAACCTCTGTCTTAGTAATTTCATGTGCCATGACCTGAAAGCTCTCATTGAGACAGAAAGCTGGGGGAATTATAGGGCTAACTTTTTGTTTGTTTGTTAGTTTTCAGAGATGACAGCCCTTTGTTGTATTATAACCAGTGTCTTTAAAACCATTGCTTCATGTGCTTCGTCTATTTTGCTTTTTTTGGCTTTTGTTTCAAGTGACAGGGTATATTGCTCCCTACCACTTGGCCAGGGGTGACATAGCAATATCCTCATATGCTTTCACAAGACCCATAAGAAATCTGTTATGTACACAGTTTGTTTGGACCCCAAAACCTGACTTATTCAAAGCAATATGATGCTTAACTGCTTTTTCATTAAATCTTGAGCCTTCATCCCCTATTATTGTTCTTTTTCCATTTCAAATCTTGTGATTAGTCTCCTTAAGAGAAAAGATAATGTGTCAGTAGTTTTATAATTTCTCTGAATCTATAGCAACTCTACTTTTCCCAAGCTATAAAAATTTGTATTTATCATTCTTGTTTTTGCTTCCAAGTGTAAGGTCATGGAAGCAAATACAGAGATATATACACATTTCTGCCTCTCTCTAGTAATTTTGGCATATCTCAGCTCCTTGTAGTCAATTTTGCATATTTATTCTCTGTCTTTGTTTTTATCTTTTCTACTGCTTGTTTTTAAATTGATATTTGTTGAACAGCTGGGTTATTAACTGTTTTTATATTCTTCCTAGTATAGATTAACTGAGATTAGAGTTCTAGAATTTCATTTTCGGAGTTTCCCTTTAAGCTTATGCTATATTTTCATCTAGATATGCAATTATCAGCAAGACAATTAAAGTTATGTTGTTCTTTTCTTAAAAGTATATGCTTTTACAATCGTTCTCAATCGTTTTCTTATTCCACTTATTTTATATTATATTAGAGAAGCATCTGCCAGCCTTTTTGTGTTTCAGTATTTATATATTACTGTGGCAATGTATTTTATATTATCTCTTTTTTTAAACTTAACAGTCTCCATCATTTTCTCTCTCAAGTTTAAATATTTTATGACAGGTATAGTTTTTCTTTAAATAAGGCAATATTCTGCCACCATCTTCTATTTTCACCTATCTCATTTGATTAGCACTTTAAAGGGAGACATTACTTATCAAAAATACACTTGTCTCTACTATAAGATCCTCTTATTTGGCAACCATCATCAACATTAATTTCAATTAAATTATTTTTAAGAGAAAATAACTCACGCAGGTCCATAGTTGCATATAAACATTGCAGTTGAATCTCCCCCAAGGTCAGGACACATTGCAATCGCACAACCGACATAAAATGAATTGGCCCAAACTAACTATAAAGAAAAGAAATGTAAAGATAACATATGGAAAACAATTCTATTCTATGCAAACAATGCATTTAGAGAATTAGTATAATCTTTGTCATGCTACAAAAAATAATGTACATAAATACTTATTAGTTACATATTTTTTCTAATTTTTATATTTAGTTTAAAATTCTTATATTGTTATGGCTGATTTTATGAGAGCTACCAAGCTAGTTTTTCCATACTGGTAATCCTCATAAATCAAAAGGAGACTATAATATATAACCAAACTCATAATATAATATACAGCCAAAATAATTTCTTCTAGATTATTTATGAAATACATTTTTATTCTATCCATGGGAATATCATACAAACAATATTAGAATCAGACTATAAATGAAAACAATAACTTACATTTATTTGTTTTTCTCAGAAAAATTTTACTAATTACCTTTTAAATTTTGCAATCTTAACCATATTCTTACCTTTGTCAAGTCACAAGACATAGGTAAGAATTAAAAACATATTGAGTTGATTTTCAAAGATGCCTGCCATAAGGATGGTGAATCTTTATTTTTATCTAGTTGCAAAGAATAGCAAAGTTATTCAAAAGGAAGAAGACTTCTATGGAAAACTAGTTACAGTAGATAGATAAAGAGGTAAGGAACATTACTAGTTTTTTGTGACAATGATAGAATAAATTTTTTTTCATTTTCCAAATAAACAAAAAAGGGAAGAAAATACTGATTTACTCCATTTTGAAAATAACCCAAGGAATTTAGACACAGAATAAATTTTGACAACACAAATTTCGGATCTCATTTATTTTACAACTTTATTAGCAAAACGTACTAACGTATTTTGTAAATTGATGTATCAATTTTTTTCATAGGCTTGTTCTAGCCAGAATCAATAGTTAGGCAAAATATATTTTACTGGCTTTTTTTTTCCTGAGAGGCAGCAAAAGTGCAAGAAACATCACAGTGAACTGAGAATTTAAAAATGAGTTTTGGGAGGTCGAGCTGGGTGGATCACGAGGTCAGGAGTTCGAAAGCAGCCTGGCCAACATGGCAAAACCCCGTCTCTACTAAAAATACAAAAATAAGCCGAGCGTGGTGGCATGTGCCTGTAATCCTAGCTACTTAGGAGGTTGAGGCAGGAGAATCGCTTGAACCTAGGAGATGGAGCTTGCAGTGAGGCGATATCACACCACTGTGCTCCTGCGTGGGTGACAGGGTGAGACTCCGTCTCAAAAAAAAAAAAAAAAAAAAGAATTTTACTTTCAGCCATCTTTGTGGTTTTGGTGAGTAAGTGACAGATCAATTCTGAGGTAGTTTTCCACTTAATGAAATGAGATAAAGTGAGAAGATTAAAAGAGCATTTTTCCTTTTGAATGTTTTAAACAATTAATAAAAAATACAACTAAAATAGATATATTTCCAAAAAATCATGTTTAACAATTTGACTTATGAATAACTAACTACACCATTAAATTCTATCTAAATTGTGACTTTTTGGGGCTTTTGAGATTGTGAGAATAAATATTCACTATGTAGGTTTATGATGTATTGGTTTCATTAAAGAAATTAGATGTAATATTAATATGAACATTGGATGTAACTCCAATGTGAATATCAATAGGTGGTAAATGCAATAAAATTTTCTCTTATTTTGTTTGGAACATTAAGCAAGATATAGTTGTTGATTTTATAAGAATATAACCATTCCTAATTATTTAACCTTAAGTGTAAACTAGTCAATAAAGAGTAAGCTCCCCTTTCTGATCTAGCAATACGAAGGGAGAAGGGGCATTTGAGAACCGGCTTTTCTTTTTTTGCTTTACAGCAAAAAAGACAAAGGATATATAAAAGCTATGACTCAGCCTTGATGCCATATTATTAGGGATATTGCATCTTTTTTGTTGTCAGGACGTCTGACACTTGATTCATTCTTTCAATTTTCCCAGTAGTAGCCAAACCATATTCTTTACCAACATCTTTCCTGATGTCCTGGAGAATGTCTAGACTTAGAACATCCTGTTGTTGAACGAAGAGTGAACATAAAGGGAACGTGGAAGTTGCTATTATTTGTTCACTGCACCTCTGATAAGAACGACTTGTTTTAAGACCCTATGTATTAATTCAACTTATACAAATGGGTAAGTCTAGAGAAGAAGGTGAGCTATTTATATTGCTTAAACAGGCTTTCCTAGGGGCTTAGTACCATGTCTAGCATTAAAGTTTGGCCGAAAGGTGAATTTTAGACACATTTACACTTCTACCTGAAATAATTTTAAAAATCGGGAAAATGATAGGAAGTAATGGTTTTCAAGACATTAGGCAACACAACGTAATACCCCTGAGATTTGGGGAAAAAAAGATGGAAACTCTATAATTGTCCTTGTATATTGCCTGGAGACAGTTTCTACATTATGGCTCAGAAGTTGTTTGATAGACTCTCATAGTTGAGAGAGTCTGATTAAGAGTCTTGGGGAGACCAAGGATGCAGAAGTTTAGATGGCATAGTTCTGAAGAGGTGAGAAATGTACAGTGACACACTAGGACAATGTGCAGAGGGTCCTCATCATCTATTCAGCAAAGTACTAATCAAAACATGCATGTGAAGAAACTAGTCTAACCCATTTACAAGAACTAGAGGAAATAATACCAAGGTTTACACAAAATCAGAAATTGGACCCATTCCCACTTTCTGAATTGGACAACTTCATAATTCTCAGTGTGTTAGGTAGAGTATGCAGAAGAATCTTGCCTGGGTAGTGAGAGATCATTATCAGCTCTGGACTAAACACTACTTTTGCCGGGCGCGGTGGCTCAAGCCTGTAATCCCAGCACTTTGGGAGGCCGAGACGGGTGGATCATGAGGTCAGGAGATCAAAACCATCCTGGCTAACACGGTGAAACCCCGTCTCTACTAAAAAATACAAAAAGAACTAGCCGGGCGAGGTGGCGGGCGTCTGTGGTCCCAGCTACTCGGGAGGCTGAGGCAGGAGAATGGCGTAAACCCGGGAGGCGGAGCTTGCAGTGAGCTGAGATCCGGCCACTGCACTCCAGCCTGGGTGACAGAGCGAGACTCCGTCTCAAAAAAAAAAAAAAAAAAAAAAAAAAACCCACTACTTTTATTCTACCTAACATATTTTAAAAGCAGGAACAAAGAGGATCGAATATGTCGCAGGTAACTTAGCTGTACCCAAAAAGATAGCTCAAGAATATTTATAGTATACAGATGAATACAGCACCCAACAAGGCAAAATGTACAATATTGGGAATATAATAAAATTTACCCAACATGATATGAGGGAATAAAATTTGATGCATAATGAAGAGAAAAATCAATCCATTGAAACTAACACAGAGTTAACACAGATACTAGAGCTAGCAGGGAAAATATTATTACAACTCTATCTCATATGCTTAAAAAGCTAGATGAAAGAGCAAACATATTAGGTATAGTCATTGAAGATGTAAAAATATTAAATTTGTAGAGATACGAACTTTAAGGTGCAAGATGGAAAACAAACTGAATGAGATTAACAGGAGACTAAACATTACAGAAGAATAGATCAACAAACTTAAAGATGCAGCGATAAAATTACTTGAAATTAATCACAGAGAGAAAAAACCAAGAAAGAAAGAGACAAGAGCATCAATTTATGTGGAAAAACTTCAAGTGACTTTCTACATGAGTAACTTGAAGAGAAGAGAACTTCCCACTTCGAGGGAAGAGAGAGAGTGAGAGAAAGAAGTATTTTCAGAAACAGTGGCCAACATTTTTCTAAATTTGATTTAAGCTATTGACTTATGACTTCAAAAAGGCCAGTGAACTGCAGCACAAGAAACATACAGAAAACTTTGGTATATTATTATTAAATTGCTCAAGACCTATGATAAGGGAAAAAATTTAAAGGCAGCCAGAAAAATAAAGGCACTTTACACACAGAGAAATAAATTCTGGCAATTAAAATATACACAAATAAGAACTAATCAATAAAGATGTCAAATATTTACCTGTGTATAATGGCCACAGACTCTGGAACATGACAGACTATCAAAATCATAAAATTCGCTTTCATTGTACCAAGCCGTAATGGCAAGTCTTGGTGTGAATGACTTTATTCCACCTAACCAGATATTTTCTCCAACATATTCAAAAGCTGCATAGCATTTAAATGATTTATCCAAACAGTTGTTATGTTCAAATTTGCACTCGTCTACCCATGCTTTAGCCATCTTTGCTAAACCTTTATCCCAAATCTGAAAGATAAAAATAATTTAAATTGAATTGTGCATAAATATTTGCATTAAATTATTCTAATGATTGTAATCAATTAATTTTTGCTCACATTTATTATTTTAATAAGATGTAGTTTTTCTTTGGTATTTATTGTGTTCACAGTCATTTCTCTGTAGTTCTACTTCAGAAATACTTATTTATACTCACTCTATGACAGTTCATTGTTATATTACCAGTACTTAGCAGATGGCCTGATACATTAGAGTCACTAAAGAAATAAATCGGAATGTGATTAAAATAATCCAGAATTCAAAGTCTAGTAATTCAGAAGTTCATGTTAGTTTATTGCAATTAAGGGATGAATACACATTGATAATTAAAAAGGGCAAAAAACTAGGAATAGAAAGAAAATATGCCCTTAATTTGATCAAGATAATCTACAAACAAACAGACAAAAATCTTATAAAATGGTGAAATATTATAACTTTCCCTCAAGATTAGGAATAAAACAAGATATCTGCCCTCGTTATTTCTACTTATTATTTTACAAGAAGTTAGGAAGTATAATAAAATGCATGAGTTGTAAATACATAAGACAAAACATGTTAAATGTATTAGGATTGGATCTATCATTATTCATAGATTACATGACTGGATGCATAAAAATTTAAATTAATACATAAACAATAGTATAAAAATAAATGAAATTATCAAAGTTGAAAGATACAATGAAAGTATGCAAAAATCTATTATATCTCTATGTATATTCTACAAATGAATAGCTCCAAAACATCCAATATGTATTAATAAATTTAATAAGTGATATACAAGACCTCTATGCTGAAAACTGCAAAAATGTAACTGAAATAAATTTTGAAAGACTTAAATAAATGGAGAGATATAAAATGTTCATGGACCAGAATATTCTATATTGCAAAAGATTATTGATTATGACATATAATTTTATTTCTAATCAAATTCCAAGTAGCTTTTTTGGGGTGGAAATTGATTACAAAATGCATGTGGAAATGCGATGTTCCAAGTAAAGCTAAGACAATCTTTTAAATGTAGAATAAAACTGGAGAGTTTCTCTCCCATATATCAATATTTATCATAAAGCTACATTAAGATATTGTCATATTGACACAAGGGTAGACAAATAGCTCAATGGAACAGAACAGAGTCCAGAAACAACTCATGACAAAAGCAACAGGCTTAATGTAGGTATAATTGCCAAGGTTATTTTTAAGCATCTTTATTTTTAACTAATTATAAATTCACAAGAAGTTACAAAAATAGTACACAGGGGTCCTGTGTAGACTTCACCTAGTTTTCCCAATGGTAATGTTTTTTGTAACAATAGTATAATATCAAAATAATAAATTGACATTGGTATTATCCACAGACTTTTTAAAGATTTCAACAGTTTTACTTGCATTTATTTTTGATTATGTGTAGGTTTATGTGATTTTATCACATGTATAAATTGAAGTAATCAATCCCACAATATCTAGATACAGAACTGTTTCAACGCCACAAGGATCCTTCATACTATCCCGTTAAATCACAACCACTCACTACCCATACTATCTTTAATCCCTGGCGATCATCAATATGTTCTTCAGTTCTGTAATTTTGTTATTTCAAGAATGTTATATAAATAGATGGCAAGGCCTGGTGGCTCACGCCTGTAATCACAGCACTTTGGGAGGCCAAGGTGGGTGGATCACCTGAAGTCAAGAGTTCAAGACCAGCTGGCCAACATGGTGAAACCCCATCTCTACTAAAAATACAAAAATTAGCCAAGTGTGGTGGCTGGTGCTTGTAATCCCAACTACTCAGGAGGCTGAGGCAGTAGAATTGCTTGAACCCAGGAGGCAGAGGATGCAGCGAGCCAAGACCGTGACATTGCACTCCAGCCTGGGTGACAGAGTGAGACTCTGTCTCAAAAAAAAAAAGAAAAAAAAAAAGAAAAAAGAATGTTATATAAATAGAATCCTATGGTATGTATCCATTTTGAGATTGGCTTCTCTTCACTCAGCATAATGCCTTTGAGAGCCATGGAGATGTTCCATGTGTTGACAGTTTGTTCCATTTTATGACCAAGTCATATTCCATAGTGTAGATGTACTACAGTTTAACTTTCATCTATTGATGGAAATTTGGATGTTTATAAGTTTGAGCTATTACAAATATGTATAGAGTCACTAAACTCCTGTTTCTCAAGAGCATTGAATTGGGAGTATCCATAAATGTTTCTGAGCAGATTTTTATGTAGCAATAAGTTTTCCTTTTTCTAGGAAAAAAGGAAAAGGAAAAAGTGCCCAGCGGTGCAATTGCAAGTCTAAGTCATATGTAAGTGTATGTTTAGGTTTTTTTTTTTTTTTTTTTTTTTTTGTTCAATTGTTTCCAAACTATTTCCTAGAGTGGCTATACCATTTTGCATTCCCACCAGAAAAGTATGACTGATCAATTTTCTCCATATCTTCACCATATCTTGCTAT